AATGAGGACCTAATATCGGGGGTTTAAGTGGAGAGAAAATGTTTTGAGAATGATGTACAAATGCGCTTTACACAATTGATGTGTATATGGATTGCGATAACAGTTGTATGAGCCCCTAATAAAATGTTTAAAAAAAAAAAAGAATTGTATGATCCCCAAATAAAATAATTTTTAAAAAAATCTGCCCCGGAGAAATAAAAAAAAAAAAGAAAAGAAACAAACAAAGGGGCAAACTTCTGTTTCCAATCACCTGTAATTATAAATGCACATTTCTTCATCTACTTTATTGTTTGATCTTTTCCCCAAAGCCTTTCCTCTACCGTAAGTTGAGTCATGATAGGACAGAAGTTGAAGCAGCACCAATGGGGCACCCAGAAGTCACTGGAATGGTTTGATATTTGGGATACTTGCTATTAGGAAGCCTTGACTTAGATTCCCCACAAAACAGACTATAAAGACCAGATTGATGGGAATAAAGATTTTTAACAAGGGAGACTTAAGTACAGGAGGATAGCTTAATGGTCCACAGAAGAAAAACATGAAATATTTATTATTAATCTAGGTTTCTATAATGGTAAGAGCCCTGGCTAAGCATTGTAACAAACAGGTTCATGTTCAAGTTCCCCAATCAAGCCATAGCATGGAGATGTGGCAGTTTGCTTTCATAGAAACTACCATTTTGGAAAATCTATGGGGAATTTCTACTCTGCCCTATTGATAGGGTTCCTATGAGTCAAAATCTACTCACAATTGTTTACTGTTAGCTTTCTTTTCTTTGTTACTCTAACATTTACATACCCTCCCCTCATGTATCAATGTGGTTAAATTCCAAACACCAGGCAATTAAACAAAAATTGGTGTGATGGAGAAATTAACAATGACTATATTAAATTACAAAATTGAGGATGACCACATCATTACTTTGCTTCCAAATTACATACTGATATAATTGCCAAAGCTCAGAAAACCATGGCCCAGCTAAGCTGACACATAACCTAAGAATCACAGCCAGCATTGCTCTCAACTTGCACCTAAGCATTTCTTACTTCCAGAAGAGCTTAGTTAATGGGAGAGCTAATTTTTATAGTCATCAATGTGAAATGCTGGGTAACAAGATGGTTAAGGAAGGAGGAGAAAGATTTGCACATAAAATACATTAATGACAGGAGGAAGAAAGAGGAGGCTAATTATTGTTCTTATTTTACTGCAGATGCACAACTGTCCTCCAATCCCCTTGTTCAATCTGAGAGTGCACCAAGGGAAGGGTATGTCCTCTGACTCTTCGCTACCCAGTCAATGTGGTCTCTTAGTGACCCTCTAGTGACTAGACTGAGTCACTGTACTCTAGAGTCTAGTGTATGATACAATGTCCCTGTGAGTTTCTGAGACTCCACAGGTGTTTGATGGTATCTCATGGTTGTTGTGACTTGCATTTCCTAGATGATTAGGGAAGGCAACCATTTCCTCTTGTGTTTATGAGCCACTGGAGTGTCTCTCTTTGTGAATCATCCGCACAGCTCCTTAGCCCACCTTCTCAGGGCTTGTTAGAGTTTTAGTTTTTTTTTTTTCTTTTCTTTCTCTAGGCTTGTAATATATTGTAGATTTTAGTAATTAGCCCTTTGTCCATTATGGTATTACTA